CAAGACGTTTGTTGATGCGTCTTTCGATAAATGAATATATCCTAGTTATTTTTTTTAAATTTAGTTTTGAAAACAAATTTTCTATTTTTCATTTAAGTCCCTTAACTTTATATGGTTCGCTTGTTTCTTCAATTTCTTCTTTGTTTTAAGTACTTTTCTTTTACCAAATTCTACATGTATGTTACTTCATTTTCTATTATTTAATACAAAATTCCTATTTCTTTTTAATTTAGTCTCTCAACCTTGTATTTTATTTAATTTGATCATTTGATTGCAACTCTTTGCAAATTCTTTATTCCCACCAGTTTCTTAACTTATTTATACTATCGTCAATAATTTTTTCTCGAAATCTCTCATTTAAAAAATATTATAAATATATTATATGATTTTAGATGATATTTGAATTATTAAATAACATTATAAATTTTATTTATACATGCAAAAAAGAATATAGAGAAATATATATGTATATCGTATATGGTTAGAGAAAATTGTTTAAATTCAAACTAATTGGTACATGATAGAAGCACTAAGTATGAACCAAGCAATCTCGGTGGTAAAAGAATTGTTGATATTCCTTGAGGTATCGGGTTCACGCTAGGAATGTTAGGGGCATTAATATTCAATGTCAAATAATTGAGAGTTTTCTTTGAATATATATTACCTTTTACTTATCACATATTAATAAAAATAAAATAGAAATTTGAAAAACTACTTTTAATTCGACCCAACTCTAAAAAGACTTTAAATGATAAAATGATACATGTAAATTAGACTAACTCATTTTTTCATGTGACTCGACCAGATCGAATACTCAGCATTAATAAACTTCTTTCCAAATTCAAGTTAAAATTTTTTCTATTCTAATTTGACTCAAATTCATCATTCAAAAGATAATATCTTTTGAGTGTCACAGCCGCAACAACTTGCACTGCCATATTCCCTACATATAGTCTGCGAATAAAACTAGCACTCAAAATCATATATACAACACCACAATCCAAACAAATTTACCCATCATTCGATTTCCCTTCTCAATCTTTCCTGCTTCTTCTTCCTCCTATGGCTTCTGTTCCAGAATTCTCCTCCGATTATTCATTTTCCGATGATTTCCCTCCGTTTCAAAACCCACTGCTGATCCCCCAAGAAAACTGCATTGATGGTACAGGTGGTGCGATTCACAGCTCTGCAACATGCGGTGAAGAAATGAGTTTCCCCATGTTTTTGGACAATGGTGGAGTCGCTGTTTTCCAACAAGAACACGGTACTCTTTCACCTTCAGTCCCAACAGCTGTTTTTCCCGACGACAACGTCTCTGGTGGTTGTGGCATTGATGGCGGATATCAATTGCAAGATGTCTGTGATGAGTTTGGAGAAGAATGCAATAGGATTCTTCATCAGGATTTCAAGCAAGTAAACATGGGAGACAGCTGGGTATATGGTTTTATCTGAACCGTTGATTAGAGAAATTATGAATACTTAATTTTCTTAAATGAATACATGTTTTTTCTTTTTTCATCTGACAGGGAGTTCAAGGCAATGGAATGGTGCCGACAGTGCAAGACAACAATCATAAGGCTGTTCGGTATTCGGTAGAAGAAAGGAAAGACAGAATTCTTAGATATTTGAAGAAGAGAAACCAAAGAAACTTCAACAAGACAATTAAGGTCTCTTCTCATCACTTTATCCTACAAAAAAACCATCGAATGTTGTTCTTCTTAGAGGAGCATTTATTATCATGATCAATTATAATTCATGAACAAACACAGTATGCATGTCGAAAAACACTGGCCGACAGAAGGGTTAGAGTTCGAGGAAGATTCGCAAGGAACAACACTGAACTACATGAAGATGAAGTAGACATGAGAAAGGAAGATGACAACTCTTCACCAATTGACAAAAACTTGAATTACTGTGATGCTGTACAGGTACTTCATTAATCTCCCACTTCCCCCCCCCCCCTTAAGTTATCACTTCAAACAATGATGTTGCCTTCATATCTGCAGATCAAGCATGATGAGCTGGATGAGTGACTTCAAGAGGCTATGGCAAATCTCATCTATTTACCACATATTGCTGGTTAATTAATATCTATGTTCAAAGCTTATGCTATTCGGATTATTTAAAAGTACCGAGTGATCATTTGAATATATAAAGAAAGAATAATTATAACCAAATTACAGATTTTGAATACGGAAAACAAAAGCTCTTTCATTCCCACTAACGATGATAATGTTGGGGCTGTTTTCAAATTAACTTTATTCGAATATGGAAGTACAAGCAAAAAGGTTCTTAAATTCCCGACTCCGTTGCCAAGTACATTACCAGTAGTAAGGTTAAAATGACAATATGTTTATCAATTGTCATTTCTTTCCTTTTAGACTTTTTCTTTAAAAGGTTTAGGGTTGTTTATTATATGATGAGAGAAGTATCAATGGCACAGTTGGGGTTGTTTATTATCGGATATTTGAAGTTTGAGTATCATATTTTTCGGCTATCGAAGTAATTGGTATGTGTATTAGTCCATAAAAATTGGGTTTCTATAGAATTGGCTAATTCAAATAACAAAATATTCACTTGAATCAACTTATTTAAGTGGTTAAAAAGATTGTTATTGTTTCTAGAGATCACGAGTTCGAATACCAACAGTTACAGAAAGGTGATTGATCGTTTATTGTCAAATGATGAGAGTATTTAAAACAAATAATACTTTATATTTATCTTAGAGTTTAAATGGGATTTTGTAGTTCAAGCTAAACTAGTAAAAATTAGCGGGTTACTATTCAACCTGAATTTTTTAAAATATATATCTAATAATTTTTAATCAGGTGGACGAATCGGATAATACAAGTAAAATATTCTTAACACCCCTAGACACAGCATCTCAATTTTAAAGTGTATCACATACTAATTTTATATATATCCTAATCTTTTAAAGATTCGAATCTGACAGATTTCGATCTAACTCGATCCAATCGGATCAATTTTTTTAAAATTCAATTTCGGATTTATGGTGAAAAATGCTCGGCCCGACCCGACCAACCCAAAAAAATTGTATTTTTACCTATATATTTAGGGATAATTGCAATAATATCCATCTATATATTATTTTCTTTCAATGAAACCATTATTTTTATTGAATAAAAATAATATTTTAATAAATATATTATTTCGAGTCGATTCGAATTTTATCTCAAAAACCGGTTTGGGTTCGAGTGTAAATTTTTAGTCAGATTAAGGTAGGGTCAGATGGACCGAAAATCCAACCCGACCCATGCCCATGCCCATCCCTATATATATATATATATATATATAATCCTTGTTAATAGAATAAAGGTGTGAAATAGTAAGAAAGGTCCTAAGATTGTGAAATAAAAGGGAATATTTGACTGAATTAGCCTTGTAGCAGTGGCTCAAGTTCAATATTCCAATCAATTTATCCATTTGATGCCAAAATCATCACTTCATTTCTTACTTCTTAAATCACTCTTATGATCAAAACTTAGCTTCTCATCTATCAAGAATTCATTGAGTGGCCATTTTATTCTCCCTATATATATAGGTTTAAGTAGTTGCGCATGTAGAGTTTATATGCGTTGTCAATGATTAACAAAATTATAATAACTATTATTTTGTAAGCACCATAAGACTATTAATATATATATATATATATATATATATATATATATATAAATATATCTTCCAAGAAACTAACTTATACAAATTATTTTAATTTCATATGTATTCATGTAAATTATTCCATTAATACTTAATCTTGTTTATTTTAAATTAAAAACGACTTCGATGACCAATAGGGGTTGATTCAAGTGATAAACAGTTTGATTCTGCTTAAGCAAGGTCTCCGGTTCGAGTCCTTGTGTATGTAGAAAGTCATTGTCGGGAGACTCACCCACCAAAGCCATGTGTGTGATGCGGGTTGTCCGAATTAGTCAAGGCAAAGCCTTGGAAACCAGGAGGAAAAAACCGACTTTGGTGAATATATCTAATTAATTTAAACTACTCAAATTAATTTCTCTACTATTTAGTGGATCAATTTAATTCCATTTCCTCCGTTATAGAGACTGATTCAAACCATTTTCTTGGTTATTAAATGGATCAAATAAAGCTGCATAACAAAGCTATGAATCTAAAACAAAAAAAATTATTTGCAAAATCATAAAAGTTTTAGAAATTTTAACTCTACTAAACAATAAATGGAACTTTTAAATAAATGTTAACAATATTAAAATTTAATCATATTAGAATATTTTTACTAATGTAAGGATTAAACTAATCCATTTAATAGTAGATAGACTAATTTAAATAGATTTATGTAGTAGAGGGACCTCCCAAATGCTTTCACCCAACGATTTCAAATATATTTTTGTAAGGATATGAAGAGATATCTACTCAGGTTAGCCCATTATTTGCACAGACGTTCACATTAGAGAGGCCCATTAGATCACTCTCCATGTTAGCCCCACCTTCCACTCCCTTCATCAAATGACTCACAACTTTTGGAAAATGTCAAATTAATCACGGAAGGACATATGCACGATTTTATATTAGATGTGTGAATTTAGGAAGTTATATTAAAAATTTAGAGTTTAAGTGAAAATTAGGTCATCAATAGAAAATACCTAAATTATACGGGAATTTGAAATTTTCAAAGGTACAACTACACCCCAACACACTCTCGATCTATCCCTGATCACATGTCATCATGTATTTTTTAAAAATAAATAAATAAACACACTAAATTATTTGAAAAAGTTAATGCAAAAAAGTTAATTTCAAGATGAAAAATACATAGATAATGGGGGGTGAAATGAGAGAAGCATAGTTATACTAATGAACATGTACAAGGAAGCAATACAAAAGGTCGCTAGTGATAATGTAAATTAAGTCCTAATAATCATTTACAATATTTTAATGGTCATAATGATCACCATCATCGTATTAATCAAATCCACCTGGGTCAGGTAGAACTGGGGTATATAATATATGTGAGAAAAAGGAAGCAACCATAAAAGCATAACAAGCAAAGCACAATCCACTCTAGTATGACCATAAAGACTCGGCCATATTAGCCTGATCAGCCATGTCCATACAAAAAAGGGACTTGGACTGATGAGGCGGCAAGTTCTCGGGCGAGCCGGTGCCGGGGTTCGACGACGGCGTCGAACCGAATTGGCGCATCCTCATCTGAATCACCTCGGCTTGAGCAAGTGCCAATTGAGTTTGCAGAGAATCGACCTGTCGTTGCAACGACGAAATCGCTCCGACACAGCCGTACACGGGGTCACGAACCCTGGCGTTTGCCTCGTACACCATGGAACTCACTGCATCGCTTCGTTGGTGTTCCGGCAATTCCTGCAAAGATTAGCCAATCTTTGTTTAGGAAAATCTATCGTTTTCAATCATCATTGCAGCTTCTTTTTCTTTCTCTTGTTGGATGTCAAGCAGATTTCCCACTTTGGGTCAGTTTCGTTTTCATGATTTTGCATAATAAATTATTAAGCATATATGAAGATATTGTTGCTGGCTTGCACACGCATGCATGTCTTCCTTTTGAGTGGCCCAAAAAGTTATTTGATAACAGGATACCATGAATTCATTGTTGCCCAATACATACATATATATATATATATATAATTCTTTATTTTTTTTAATAAATATATTCTCATTTTCTACTGTTACTATAATTTTTAATTTCTCATTTTTAATGATTTTTTTACATTAATAATACACTAAATAATATATCTTTATTTAATTTAAAGATTGCATAAAATAACAAAAAAATATTAAAACAATACGTATTATAACTCAAATAAGAATAAATAGATAATTTTCAACTAGTCAATTAACCAATAACATAAGATATAATCAGACTTTTAAATATAATATTTGATTATTAATGTCACCTTCACACATCATATTGTGCAATAATATCAATGCAATTAAACCAGTGTTTGATAATTCAAAATTTGTTTGCTTGCAACAAATATCACGTCCTTTTACGACCTAATTTCATACCTACCACTATCAAAGTAATTAAAACAATGTTTTTAAAGCTTCCATTTACATGTATTTTCTATAATAATAATCATGACTTTGGCTGGGTTTAAAAAATTCAAAAGTTTCCAAAGTGGCAAGAAAGTTGAAGATAAGCACTATAGTAGTCTTAAGCTTTAAACCTCTTCACATGTAAACCTGCCTTCCTAAAAAGCTAAAGCCAAAGTTAAAATTATATTTAACCCATTATTCCTTTTTTTTCTCTCTTTTTATTTGCAGGAATCTTATGATAAAATATTGATTTTACTATTTGGTTAAAGAATATAAGATTAACAGTAAACCGTTAAAAAATCGGTCAGGCTGCTGTAATTAATATCCTTAGAAAAAAATGAGAAAGAGATGAAAAAAATGTAGCTTTTCTTATATATTTGCATCTGAATGTGTTTAAGTGTATTTAAAGCGTGAATTTAAGAAAATGCCAATTAAACTAAAACTCAATTTCTTTATTGTCCAGTGGCAGAACATCATGGGGCCAAGGGTATTATTTTTTTAAGTAATAATTAATATTAATTTTTTAAAAAAAAAATAAATAAATTATTAGATCCCTCAAATTAAAATAAATTGCATTTATGGAAAATAAAAATATTTTAACTCCGTTGTATTAAATTAAATTCCTAGTTTCACTTCTGATTACGTTTTTTCATTTATGACATGAAACCTAACATACTCTTCTATCAGATGATCACCTAAACACAAGACAAATTATAATACTGTAAGAATTTCTGTTATAAACAGTTCTAAACACTTAATGCATAATTATAAAATTAGAAAAGAAAAAGAAAAGCTTGCGTGGAGTTGATTTTCTGCTTAAAATTCATTATCCAAAAGAAAATTAAAAAAAAAACAACGAAACATATGGATTTTCAAGACATAACTAGAGGAAACATAAATACGATGAATAAAAGCTTTTATCCTGTCATCTTCATTAAAATAAAAAAGGACCGTTCTTTTCGATTTTTTCAAGGAAAAAAAAAGAAGACCGTTCTTTACGATTTTTTCAAGACATAATCACTTTTCTTTAGCATGCTTAGTTTTCCTTTCGGAAAGATGATTAAGATTAGAGGTGATCATCGACCAGGTCGATGGTGAGTTGGGCAGTGTTTGACTCGTGCTCATTAAAAAATTTATTTCTAGACTCAACTCGTTGTTCGTTAAAATTTTGTTCGACTCGTGTTCACTAAAAAAATTATTACTCGTCTCGTTATTCATTAAGTTTACCGAACTTTTACCTATAGGTAAAATTTTCTAATACTATATAGAGATTAATATAAACATAAATTAATAAATTTAACTAAAAAATTATCAAAAGAATGTACTAAGTGATTTTAAAGTCTAAATTACAAAATAACAATTCACCAATACATTAAAATAATAGATAATCTTTGATTTTTGGTGTACTAAAATGTCAATTAATAATTTAGTATTTTTTACTATTTATTATAAAATTAATAGATTAACAGTTTATCATTTTTTACTCCCTATTGGTAAATTAGTAATTTTTTGTTAAGATAACTACTAAAAAAGTATATTAAAAATATTAATATTTTTACCTAGTCGCAAACTTATCGAGTTGAATTTGATTTTGTTCAAATCAACTTGTCAAGGTCTCGTGTCAAGCTCGAGCTAGGGTTCGAGCCAACCTAAATGAGTTTTATCAAAATTTAACCGAATCGAATTCAAACTGCTCACAAGTTACTCAATTCATTAATCACCCATAATGAAGATGCATTTGCTTTCCCAATCTTTTTCAGTCTTTTGGCCAACTAACAACAATAGACAAACCCTTTTCATGGTGCTCATGCATGCCTGCAATCTTGTGCTAAAACCCTAAAACTGTGGAAGAACATGCTACAAAATTCACTTAAATAAAAATGTAAATTTCCAGATTATTTTAACAAGTTATTAGCCAACGGAGAAAGTAACGAACCTGTAACATCTTGTTAACATTGCTAGCACCAAACACCTTATGGACACTAGCAAACTTGTGAGGCTCATCGGCCGGAAAATAGGGAGCGAAAACACAGTCCGGCGCACATCTCCGTCTGAGTAACTTGCACGCTGCGCATGGCGATAAAGCCCCGTGCTTTTTACCGTTCTCCTTCATTCCCCTTCTTCTTGATAAGCCTGCAACAAACTAACCCTAGAAGCTTTCACACTGAGAAGAGAAGATGTAGGAAGGGGACCCGAGAGTTGGAGGGGGTTGGGTGTTATATAGAGAGATTCTTCTGTGACACCAAATCTAGTGGGGGCCAAAAAAGCAAAGCCCTAGATTTCCTGGACAAAAACATCGTTTTTCATTAGATCTTTAGGTCCATTCTTGTATGATATTTTTTCCTCAAAAGAAAATAATTAATTTGCAACGAAAATAAGTTATTGGTTTAGAAATAAAACAATTTCCTTATGATTTCTTTCAATTTTAATTGATTGGTATATAGAATTCATTGAATAGTTAAAAAATATTTGTCTCCCTATAATTTAAATATAGTTAACTTTTTAAGGGATGTAAATTCTATTTTATTTTAACGATGAGTTTCAACAACATATTATTATTCATCATCAATTTTATAATTGCTGGTGTATTAAATTAACTCTTATAATATTCATGAATCAACTTACCTCGGTGATTAAAGAAATCGTTGTAATTTCTAATGTCACGGGTTTGAGCCCTAGCGGTTGCAACATGGTGATTCAGTGTTTATTGTTAAATTATTAAAAGTATTTAGAACATATATTAATTTATAATCTTATCTTAATAAAAAAAACTCTTATAATTTGAAAAAATGGCTAAATTTATAATAGTCACTCGATTGTTAACACTTCTTTCTTCTGGTGATACGTAAAAAATTATAAAATAATTTCTTGATATTTTTATTTAGTAACAAGAAGATATAACTGTTTCAACCGAAGGACTTCAGTGGTAAAAGAATTATTGTTATTCTTTGAGGTCTTGGGTTCAAGCACCACAAATACTAGGGGTGCGAGCGTTCAATGTCAAATGATTGAGAGTTATCTTCGAACAAATACTACATTTTATACATACCCTATATTAATAAAAAAAACTTTTTCTTAACTTGGTAAAAATAAGATAACGAGTCTTTAAATTTTACATTTTGTCAATTTGGTCCTAGTTTTAAAATTTTTAACATTTTCCGTTTGTACGATGATATCATAAAGTTCATGTTTTTCTTTCTGGGTTTATTATAATGATGAAAGAACAGCCATCTGATTAGTTTTTGTTGATTCAGTTGTTCTGCAGTACATAAAGTTTAGTTCTCTCTGCAACTGCTTCTGCCGCCCTCATAGTTGAAGGTGTGCAGAATTATTCAATACTAAAAACTCGGACAAAATTATTCTGAATCATGAATCCGATACTAATACTAGCCGGGGAATATTGATATCTTTTCTATATCGATACTAAATAATCAATATCAGTATTGGATAATCCAATATTATTATTATGATGTGAAAAATACAGATTTTTGTATTCTAAATGACGCAACATGTATTTAAATCCAAATATACAGGTAAGTGATTAACGACACAACATATACGTAAAAAGAACTTAAAATGTAACAATCGAGTCATTATTAGACTGATGAATCAATTATCTGATAGTGAATGATTTTAATGAAGTGAAACGTGGAAGATGAGAAGAAAGTGAAATAGAAAGAAATAGGGTTTACTTTCAAGAAAAGTGATTCAAAAGATTAAAAAGAAAAGAATGGGGTTCAAAGGAAATCTCTTATTTCAACTAAAATCTTCCTTAAATATTCTTTCCAATAAAAAATTGTTTCTAACACCAACGATATCAAATCTTTAGTGTACCGTTTTACTGCACAAAACAACTAGCTTTTCTCCTGTGATATGACATAATTTACTTGTAACGTTCACCCTTTGTATTATTAGCCAATTGTTTTTCAATAGGATGCTATTTTATTTTATATATGTAATTTATATTTGGTTTAAATATGTTAAATATTCGTGTACTATTTTAAATTATACTAAATATTCATGTACCATAAACCCATCGATCAAGCGGCTTTAGTGATAAAAAGGAGTGTTCTCTCTAAAGATTCCGAGTTCGAGTACGATACATATGTAATATGTGTCTATTGTTAATAATTTAAAAAGATTTTAAACATATATAATCTTATAATTATCACATCTTATTAAAAATATATATTCATGTATACTATTTAACGTGTATTAATGTTTATTTAATTATGAATGGGGAGAGCTTTTCACGAGCTTTACAAAATGGTATGTAAAATCATATTTTATATGAAATTGAAAGCTCAAGAAAAATTCTAAAATAGACTAAGTACCCTGTGATAGGATGCAAATGACATGATAGGAATCAAAATATTATATATACTATACAATATGCAAATGCATGAACTCAAACTTTGATTAGTGGAAATCTTTTCCAAAGAGAGTGACGGATTTAAAAATATTTTTAGGGTAGGTACATATATTTAACAACGTAAACTTTTACCCTAAGTATCGATACCCTCATTTACCTCTACAACTCTTCTTGCTTTAAAGCTCAAACCTTACCCTTGGTATCGATGATTCCCTTACAGTATCGATACCCTCACTTCAGTATCGATACCTCACTCAAGGTATTGATACCCTACTACTAAAATGCTTTGAAAGAAAGAGGGAGTATTTATACTTGCATGGGAGTATTGATACTCCCTAGAGTACCAAAACCAAAATGGCATTCTGGACTCTCAGTCTCAAAACCGAGCACCCTGGTCTTGATACCAGACCCTCAGTATCGATACTCCTCTAAGGGGTATCGATACTGCTCCTCAAAACTATTGATTTTCTACCTGAAACATGAACATTATCGATGGTGCTTCTTGCAGTATCGATACTCACCCTTAAACATGCCTTATTTAGGCACAAATTTACCTATTAAACTCTCTAATTTTCTACATTAAGGTTCCCAATGTATTATTAAGTCTTATTTGATCTTGGGGGATCATAAAGAAGGCTTTGATACGTGCTAAAAACATAAATTATACAATCTACCATGAAAATCTACTTAACATGTTCATACTCAACTTTCTAGCTATCTTGCATTTCTAATGACCCACTAAGGGTATGAAAGAGTTGTGGGTGTTACATGGCTTTCTTGGTTGCTAAATTTTCTCTTAATTCAACTAGAAATCACCTTCTTCTGATCATTTTCTTTAAAACTCACTTCTTCCTCTTTAGCTAAACCAAGCAAGGAAATGGATTACTACTCAACTAGAGGTTGGGTTAAGCTTAAATACAACTCTTATAACTCAAATATACCCAAAAGCAACTTAAAACGTTTGATTTATTTCAACTACCAAAAACCCATGTTCTCAAACCTTATTCTCTAAAACCTAAGATTTGGGTTTTAAATTGAAGCTTGAGAGAAGGAGATTAAGATTCTTATCTTGGTTAACTCTAATTTGGTTTGGAATCTCAAAATCACTCATTTGTTTCTTGCTTTTGGGAAGAAAAAAGAGGAAATGGAAGATATTTTTTGGGGCTTTGTTTCACGTGGAAATCTCTAAACATAAGGAGTTTTTATCCTTTAAAACATGTTATGGGTAAACTACACTTTTAGTCCTTCACATTTTTACCTCTAACTAAAGTCATCACTTGCCTTTACCTTTTGGGCCAACCTTAAGCCCAAAACTCTCATAAAATGGTCCAAACTATCTTAGGAGGTCTAATGGGCTCAACTTATGGGTATCGGGTTGACTCAAACTATTGACCTGAGATTCGGGGTATTACGACTCTCTCATCCTACAAGAAATTTTGTCCCCAAAATTTCCCTAAAGAAATGTTTCATTCTAAAACACTATTGGGCATCTACGATAGATCTCGACCACTAGAACATCTAAATCTAAGGGCTGGAAACTCTAACTCCTATCTTAAGATCATCGGCTGAAACTTTCTCTCGAACTAGGTCATAAAGAATAGGGGAATCCTTATGGCACTTCAAAACTCACTGCTAACACTAAATCTTTTCTTTACTAACTCACTTAATCAAGTTGACTTACAGCACAACCTGATAACCTCTTCTATCCAATGGGCAAAGAAAACTCTGAGACCTTATGGCACTTACCAAATCTTTCTCTATAATTGACCTCTATGTTTCTATTGTGCAACTCTATTTAATACTTCTCTGCGCTAACCGATTTCTTTCTTAACCCTGTTCTTTACTAATTCACTTAATCAAGTTGACTTATAGCACAACCTGATAAACTCTTCTATCCACTAGGCAAAGACAACTCGAGACCTTATGACACTTACCAAATCTTCCACTATAGTCTACCTCTATGTTTCTACTGCATAACTATAATTTAATACTTCTCTGCACTAATTGACTACTTTCTCAACCCTATGGTTCCTCCACATAACTTTCACTAGAGAAATCCTTTTATGCCCTGATGGTTGACACTATCCTTAAGCTCTAGGCTTCTCATTAAACACTACTATCCTAGTCTTGCCTTTTTCTTATCTTTAAGCCGTCGATGTGCCTTGCGCACTTATTGTCGCACATCTGGGTTAGGATATCACACCTTCCAACCCACCCCTCACGGGTGTTAGGCCTCGCGCCCATTAAGTAAAACTGCAACATTGCCTCGGGCACTTGCTTCAGGTGTTCTCCGATACCATGTACCTCTCTATTGAGGCCTGAGCTCTCTATTATTACAGATGCAGAAGTACGAGATAACTCTGTAGGGAATGTATACTCATAAAATCTTTACCAAAACTAACCGACACTAATATGTGAGTTCTAGTAACGCCTATACCTTTGTCCTGATACCACTAAATATAACACCCTAAACCAGTACGATACACAGTCGATCAATTAGGGTGCTACACGGAACCACTAGAGTGGTTGACTAACTATTTACTCATTATTTTAACTTTAACACGACTATTTTAAAATCCTTTTAAATACATAAACATCCACAAATATAATTAAAAACTTACAAATTAAAACTCTCAAAATAAATAATATACAGACTAACTCTTAACTGACTTTATAACTTAACTTTACAACTAAGTGTACAAATATACATGTCCTTAAAAAATTATTGATGACATACTCTCTTCTACACTGGATTTGGACCTCGGTCACTCCAGATATACTCGAATTGTTGATTTATAA